GAGTCCCTGAGCCCTGCCCCCTGCAGCCCGGCTGCAGCCCTGCCCTTTCTGGGCTGTGCTGGCCATCCTTCCTTGATCCCTGAAGCAAGAGCATGAGCTGGATCACTGTCACTGTCAGCAACAGAATCCTGATGGAAAAGTGCTGAGAATAACCTAATTATATTGTTTACAACAATAGACTTCTCATCATTACCGTACTTCGCTGCGGGCCTGGGTGCCTCTCGGGCTCCAGGGTGCCCAGGAGGAGGCAGCACGGAGGGGAGGAGGCAGCGGCTCTGCCCTCTCGACACTTTCCCACTCGCTAACTCCTGTGTCACCCCCACACTCCCCCGCCCCTGGCCCATTCTCTGCCTGAGCCCCTCCGTCCTCCACACGTGGCTCCTCTCCCTCTTTGAAGCCCCCCTGTTGATTCTCACAACATTCTGGATGACCTCCCACCCCGCCAGGGAGGCCCGACTTCCCCAGCGGTCACTGTGTGACAACCTCCAGCCACAAAACCAGTTGTCAGGGCCCCCACAAGAGCTGGGGCGGCTCCACATGAGATCAGAGGTGAGCAGGGACAGCAGGAAGGTGCGGTGTGGACACAGGCGGACGACACCAAGAAATCAGCGTGTAAGATCATCAAACAGTGCAGCCTTGCAGACTCAGTCATCCCCTGACACCCATGAAAAGATCACGTTTTGTTCAGCATGGTCTAAGGAACCAGAGCATGTAATATACTTGAGAATATTCTGTCAATGCTTCAATAAGAACAGATGGTGCTGAGTGATCTAGAAAATCCCCTGTGCTCAAAACAGGCTTCTCCTTGCCCTCTCCATTTGGCTGCCTTGTGCATATCAGGTATCAGCTTAGCTGCCACTTCCTCAGCGAGACCTTCTCTAACCCCTGGGCGGGGCCAGCAGCCCCTGCTTGCCTCCCGTACATGGCGTGAACTGTGCTGTCATTCTGACAGACTGTGGGCTGTGTGCCCCTCCTGGGAACTGCTCTGCACATACCTTCATGGTCTGGTACCTCTCTGAGAGCCGGACCCTCTCCACCTCCTCACACACTCCATGTTCCAGCAGCTCCTGTGGGAAGAGACAAAGCCTGAGCGGAGAGAAAGCAGAGCCGGGGGCCAAGGACAGGCAGAACCCCAGCACTCAGCAGGGGACTTTGTGGTATCAGGATCCAGTGGGACTTGGAAATGGAGCCTGTGCCCAGGGAGGCAACCAAAGCTTCTGGTTTCAAAGCCCCTCAGACCTGGGGCCATGGGTCATTTCTCGGATATGTAAACAACTGCTTTTCAAACATTCTGATGAATTCAACCCGACTTCACTGAAAAGCGTAACTGGATTCAAAAGTATCATTCTGTCACAATGTATTCTCCCAGTGGTAAGTGTACAAAAGGACAACTTCACATTTTGGGCCCTCAAATACTTTGTATTTTAAAAAGAGGTACTTCTCTTCCACCATCCGAGGCAGTCTGGCCGATGCCAACCATGCCAGCCACCCCCAGCAGCTCCCTTCGTTGAGTCTTCTCAGCCACCCTGAGAGGTGTCTTGCCACAAGCCTGGGGCCTGCCTCCGCAGCTGGGCTCTGAACCGAGCCACCTGCTCTTACTGCGCTCCACGGCCTGCTCACCCACCCACTCGTGTTCACACCTCCACCCTGCTACGGGTGGTCGGCACATACCTGGACGACCCTGCAGGAGTGTTCTCCAAAGTGGGGCAGCCCCTGCAGCTGGCTCAGGGCTGTGACTGGGCTGGGAAGGGCCTTGAGCACGGAGGCTGCTCTGCAGAAGGAGAGGAAGCGGCCTTCACTGCCTTCAAAGCCCGCTGCCTCTGCCAGCGTCTCCAGAGCCTCCTGCAGGGAGGGACCCTTGGTGAGGGGCAGGGTGGGTGGGGTGCCTCACCCAACCCTCCAGCTGCCACCCACCTGTCCCCAGGGCTGGGACAGGGCTCACCGAGAGGCTGGTGTTGTAGTGTGTGAGGGGTGTGCGACGCTGGCAGGCGTAGGACGGCATCCACACTGGGCTTGGCAGCCCCTTCCTGGGCATGGCCACCTGGGGATGAGCAATGTACAGGCCACTTGGAGGCTGCAGGGCTGGCAGGGCCAGGCAGCCCCTGAAGCCTTGCCTCTTCTGGGCGGTCACCTAGGGCTCTAGGGACAGAAGGAGCCCGCTGAGAGGGCAAAACTCTCACAGGCAGAGGTGGTGCTGCCCTGCAGAGCAGGCCAAGGACAGGCTCTTCAGGCCAGGGTATAGTAGTAACGCCACCAGCCAAGCCTCATGGCGCACTCTTCCTGCCGTCATGCATGCTGCATGTGCTCTACCTCCAGAAATCCTCTCACCCAAGGGAGCTAGGGGTGGTTTTCACCCCCACCTCAACAGACAGGGACACTGAGGCCTCAGGGCTCACAGGCAGAGCCAGGATTTGAACGTGGGCAGCCCGGCTCTGAGCCCACGCCTGCATCCCCCAGCTCTGCTCACCAGGAAGCACGGAGCTGGGGTGGAGGCATGAACCTCACAGGACTCTGAGTTCAGCCTCCTGCCGGCCCTTGAGTCATCTCACTTGGGGTCTCAGTCTCACCTACTTGGTGAGAAAGAAAGGCTTCAAGAAGCTAGAAATAAATGAGCTGCAAGGGAGTCTGCGGGACTGGTGAGAGCAGAAGCTGGGATGGCCTGGCCCCTGGTGGTCTGGGCAGAGCCCTCAGTCCCCACCTCATCTGAAGGACCCTGAGGCACTGTTGCCACATCACCCATCCCACTGAGCTATGGCCTGCACTGGGGCCTTCTCTGTGGCCCCTACCCTAATCCTCCAGCTGGCTCACCTCCAGGCGGTGCCGGCACTCCACAGGCACGGGCTGCCCAGCTGCCATGCTCTCTGTGAACCAGCTTATATCCAGCAGCGCTGGGTGAGTGCAGCCTGGGGGAAAGGCCGCCACCCTGCGCTCCTGCCAGCAGATGGCCTCCTCGGCAGAAGTCTGCTCCATCACCACGTGTGTCACCTCGGGGCTGGCCAGAGAGTGGGGAGGGTCAAGTCCAGAGCCCTTTCCCAGGCCCACATCCTTCCTGCCTTGCTCCATACTTCTAAGCCTTTGCTCTTACTGTCCCCTCTGCCTGGTGAGCACCGATTCATTCTTCAAATGTCACTTCCTCAGAAAGACTTCCAAGCCCCTTCTCCTGGCAGACGACCACCTCTACCCTCCAGCACCTGCAGAGCTGGGGTTCTCTGCTCCAGCTACCACAAGCCCAGCCGGATTTTGTGTTAACTTGTCTGTCTCCCTCTCCAGGGGGTCTTCATCTAAGTGCTGGGGCCAGACTGCTTGGGTTTGAAACTCAGCTCTGCCACATACTTGCTGTGTGCCCTTGGGCATGGCACTCACTTCTCTGTACTTTGATTTCCTCCTCTGTAAAGCAGAGAAAATAACTTATCTACCTTGTGGGGTGTGTAAAGATTAAACGAGCTAATAAGCAAAAAAGCTTAGATAGAGCCCAGCACACACAAAGCTGCTATCACCATCCTCGCCTGAGTGGGTCTGGCACACCCCTGGGATTGTTAAGTTAAAAAAAAAAAAAAACAACTGCAGGAGGACCGGACTGGCCCCCGACTCATTTGCCGCTTCAACTTCAAAACTATGGGAAACCTGCTCCATTACTCTCAGCATCACCTCTATGGCCGGTTTTTTCTTTTTAAGATTGGCACCTGAGCTAACATCTGTTGCCAATCTCCTTTTTTTCTTCTTCTCCCCAAAGCCCCCCCAGTACATAGTCGTATATTCTAACTGCGGGGTCCTTCTGGTTGTGCTGCGTGGGACGCGCCTCAACATGGCCTGAGGAGCGGTGCTAGGTCGGCGCCCACGATCTGAAGCGGCCAAAATTCTGGGCCACGGAAGCCCAGAGTGGGAACTCAACCACTCGGCCACAGGGCTGCCGCTATTTTTTGCCGCTCTTGGAGCCGAACTCAAGTCACTTTCTCAGCCCTGAGGTGAGAGGAGAAGTGTTTGGCCAACAGGGCAAGATGGATTCATCTAGGACAGAGGGCTGTCAGCCAATGACGCCGTTTACCAACCGCCCGGCTCCTTACACAGCCTCTGGCATACGTTCTCTCCTTATCCTACAGAATACTAATTGTTAGCACCCTTCACAGAAGAGGAAATGGAGAGAAAGGCCACTTGACCATGAAATGCCAGAGCTAACTTGGAACCCGAAAGCCTCAGGCGCCAGCGCGCCCCGGGGTCAGCTGTGTGCGAGCCGTTTCGGATCTCACCATCCGCAGCTGTAAAGACACCGCATGTGAACGCGGCTGGTCAGCGCCAGGTTCCCAGCACGGGCATTCTGTCTTAGGCCACCACATCACGCAGCGGGGTCCTCCGGCCCACCGGGCACGAGGGCATGGCGACACCGACACGGTGTCCCGCTCCCCGGGGAGGCGGGACCGTGGGTGCCGCACCCAACCCTCGCCCCCCGGGGAGAAGGTCCCGCCGGGCCCCGAGCTTCGCCACGACGGCGCACCTGTAGGCGTCCAGGACGCGGAAGCCCTTGGAGAGCGCCAGGCGTGTGAGGAAAGCCCGGCGGCTGCGGCCCATGCGCGGCTCGGCCAGGTAGATGGCGACGCCGGGGAAGCGCGCGGCGGACGGGGCGGCGGCGCCGGGGGACCCGACCCGTGTTCGCCGCCGTTTCGGGAGCATCTGGGCCCCGACGGCAAACGTCGCCCAAGGAAGGCAAAGGAAGGCGAGCCGGGCGGAAGGAACGTGGGCTGAAGTCGGAAGGAAGACGGACGGAAGCCGACTGGAAGGGGGCGTGGCCCGGCGCCACAACGAGGCAGGCCCCGCCCCCCGGCCGCTCGGAGCGCGGTGGAGGCGCCGGCTCCCACCGCATTGGGTGTCCTGGCCGTTGGGCGCCGGAGGCCCCGCCTCTATGCAAATAGAAACAGAGGACACGCCTGTTATTTAAATTATTCTCGCGGACAGTCCCGTCGGGCTCCTGGGACCCCGGAAGGGAGAGACCCGAGATGGGGGCGGGAGGTTGGAATCCGTCCTCGGCGGGGAGCGAATGGAGGGATCCGTTCTCGGCAGCGAGGGAACAAGGGGTCTGTCCTCGGCGGGGCGGGAGGTTAGGGGAACGGCCCGAGCCCCTCCTCGCCGCCCCCTGCGGCCGGGCCGACCGCACCAGGGTCGCGGGCTGGGCGCGTGGGCCGCGGGAAGCTGGCGGCGCGGGGGCGCGAGCTCGGAACGTGCGAGTGGAGCAGCCGCTTCCAACTCCTGGAAAGGTTTTTTCAGTCGAATGGCGTTAGGACAATTGGCTGGCCATTTGGAAAAATAGAAGTTGGCTCCCTCCCTCACTTCTTAACACCAAAATAAAATCCAGATGAACCAAACATTCAAATCTAAAAGGAAACAAAAAAACGTACTGGAGAGTTGGTGAATGTTTTCTAGTCTGAGTTATCACGATAAACCTGGAGATGCTGAAGGAAAAGAATAACTTGACTACATACAAATTTAAAGTGTATTAAAATTAAGACGCAAACCGAGGGAAAAGCGTGACCCTTTTTTGAAATTGTCTAATTCCTGTAGTTATGAAATCGTCCGCAACAAATAAGAAAAAGACAACAGTCTAATGGAAAAAGCGGCAAGGACACCAGTAGGCGATTCACAGAAGAAATGCTACTCAAACTTAGACAAGATTGCCTGACCTATCCAATCATTAGAGAAGTGCACATTAAAATGAGAATATCTTCACCTGTCGCATTATCAAACATTTAAAAAATTGATCACACACATTGAAGATGGGAGGGAACTGGCAATTTGTAGGAGAGGCTTTTTGGAAGCCAACAAAATGAAAACAGAAATCACACCCAGCAGCTCCTTTTCCAAGATTGGAATTGCGTTGACTAGATGGGGCTGGGAAAGCTGATGTGACAACACTCAGTGTTCCTGTGCGTCTCTTATTTTCAGGCACTTTGCTTTGGAATCTCTTGATTACAGCAATGTAGCCATGCTCAGACTGACAGATGGGACAGGCCAGGTGTGACCCTTGTTCCCCACCCTCCCCTTGATCTTCTCCCCCTGCCTCCTTTCTGTGTCACATGCAGTGGGCACAGGGCTGAAGAGGCAGGTGTCTGAGCCCAGGCCTCCTCTCCACCTCCCACAGGGCTCCCAGCTGCCCTCCTGGGTCCCAGGACACGCACTCCGCAGCCAGGAGGCCTGGGTTGTGGCTCCTCTCTCATCACCCTGCACTCTTTTCTCCTCTGCCACCAGGAATGGGGAGCTCCCCAGGCCTCTGTAAGGGGTCAGAGCTTAGTTCCCCAACTGTGGGTCCCGCCTCTCCTCAGGGAGCAGCTGTCTATCCCTTAAAATCATTCCCTTTCCTCTTCATGTCCTCTGTCTCTGCTGGCCAGGGCACCTGGGTTCCCTCCTGGGGAGGCAGAGGCAGCTTTTAATTACCCATCATACCTGAATATTTAAAACACTGGGCAACTGGCAAAAATGAGGGACACCAAGCCTTCTACAGGCCCGGGGAGGTTTTGTTAGGGGGGCGGTAGCTCTCACTGCCCACTGAGTGGAGGCCGGAGCACCAGTGGGCAAGGCCATGGCCTTGATGGGTGCTGTGCTCCTCTCCTGCCCTCCCTGGACCACCAGGTTACCGCCCAGCCAGTTGGGAAGCGGAGACCTCAGCCCTTTCTTTCCAGAAAACCTGGCTTGGGGTTCCCAGACACCCACATCCCCAGCCTCTTGCTCCCCATGCTGAGACCACCCCCCAAAAGTCAGAGAGGCTGCACAGATGACCTCCTGGCTGGGCCCTTTCAGCTGCCCTGAGTGTGCACTGCGGCTGTCTCATGCTGTGTTTTGGGTTAGTTTTACCCCGATGTATGAGCTTGCATTTTTCCAAGATGAATCTCATTGAGCTGTTTCCTGTTCCCACTTCCAGATGGAAGAAATCCCCGGGGGTGTTTTTCACTTGCATGACCTTTGCAAACCTCCCCGTGGAGCGCCTTCTTTGAAGTTCACTTCAGTGCTGTTGCGCCTGTCCTTGGCCTGTGGAACCAGGATTCTGCCCTGGCTCTGGGGCCTGCCTCTCCCATTGTCCAGTCTCCTGCAGGCTGCTTGCCAGCAGCATTCCGGAGAGCATGTGGTCAGACTGCTGATGCTGCTGGACTGGAGCTCCTGAGGGCTGCTGGCCCGGATGCTGTTGCCTCTGGGGCGGGCCCTCGGCCTTCCTGAGCTACCCACCACATCATTGTGGGTTTGGGTTACCTGGTCTATCAGTCAGCTCGGGCTGACATAACAAAATACCGCAGACGGTCGGTTTAAACAACAGAAACTTACTTCTCACAGTTCTGGAGGCTGGAAGTCCAGGCCAAGGTGCCGGCAAGGTAGGTTTTATTCTGAAGCCTCCTCTTTGGGCTTGTAGATGGCTGTCATCTCACTGTGTGCTCTTGTGACCTCTTTGTGCATTTGTGGGGAGAGAGAGAGATCTCTTCCTCCTTCTATTAGGACGCCAGTCCTATCAAATTAGGACCCCACCCTTATGACCTCATTTTACCTTCTTGCCTCCTAAAAGCCCATCTCCAAATACAGTCACATTGGGGGCTAGGACTTTAACATATGGATTTCAGTCTAAAGCACCCGGCATATTTGTGTCCTGTAGCTGCTGTAACAAATTATGATAAACTGCATGGCTTAACTGCTGGCCCTGTGGTGTAGTGCATAAGTTCCGCAAGCTCTGCTTTGGTGGCCCAGGTTTGCAGGTTCAGATCCCAGGTGCAGACCCACACCCCTCCTCAGCCATGGCAGCAACCCACGTGTAAAGTGGAGAAAGATTGGCACAGATGTTAGCTCAGGGCTACTCTTCCTCAAGCCAAAAGAAAAAAGAGGACGATTGGCCACAGATGTTAGCTCAGGGCTAATCTTCCTCAGCAAAAAACCCCCAAAACCAAAAAAGACCAGAAATTTGTTCTCTGCCAGTTCTGGAGGCCAGAAGTCTTAAGATCAAGGTGTGGGGAGGGCCTCCCTCCTTCTGAAGGCTCCAGGGGAGGATCCTTCTGGCCCCCTCCAGCTTCTGGGGGCTCCTGGCATTCCTGGGCTTGTGGCCACGTGCCTCCATCTCTGCCTTGTCTCCAGTGGCCTGCCCGCTGTACCTTCCTCTTTTCTTGTAAAGGCACCAGTCACTGGATTTAAGACCCATCCTAATTCATTTGAAAATTCTTAATTACGTCTGCAAAGACCCTTATTCCAAGTAAGATCACAGTCTGAGGTTCCAGGTGGACATGAATTTTGGGGGGCCACCATTCAACCCACTACGCTGAGCCCACGGCTCTGACCCTAGCTCAGTGCTCGGCTCTGCTGACGGGCTCCAGGACCCGGGCCAGGCAGCTGACCTTCCCTGATCTGCAGAGATCCATCAGAGCCACAGACTTGGGTTTCTGACAGCAGTAGACGTGCTGGTGTTGGGGGCTGCAGCTTACTAAGGGCCCGGCACATTATGTAACAAAAAGAGATCCTTTATTTTTGACAAACTGTATTGCCTTTTAAGGAGGAGGTGGGTCCCTTTGCTTGATGGAGGGTGTCTTAGTCCGTTTGGGCTGCTATCCCAAATACCACAGCCTGGGTGGCTTGTAAACCACAGACATGAATTCCTCGCGGTTCTGGAAGCTGGGAGTGTGAGATGAGGGTGCCGGCAGGTTCAGAGTTGGTGAGGGCTCTCTCAAGAGTTGTAGGCTTCTCACGGTGTCCTCACATGTCAGAAGGGGTGAGGCACCTCTTTTATGAGGGCACTAATCCATCCAGGAGGGCTCCACTCTCGTGACCTAATCACCTCCCAAAGGCCCACCTCCTAACGCCAGCACCTTGGCCAGCAGGATTCCAACTTGTGACTTTGGGAGGGACACAAACAGACAGGCTCTGTATAAGAAAGAGGTGGGGGGATGGGGCCTGCCGCAGCATCTGGAGCGCGAAGACTGGGCCAGAGATGAGAAGAAGCCTGACGCCCTCCTGCCATGGGGACTTGGCCTGAGAATGATGGAGAAGAGAAACGTCCTTGAAATGAAGGTTCTTTGGGTTCATTTGTCCAACCAGCCCTGGCTAATGGTTGGCAATGGGGGAAGGGCCAAGGGTTCCAAAAGGCGTATGAGAAGAGGGCTGTTTGCCGACCCGAATGCCACTGCAAATTGACAAAGTTGTCCGCTCTTTCCACCACAGATGATTCCATTTATATAAGGGCACAATATGATGTTATTACATTCTTCTTTTTCCTTCTTCTTCTCCCCAAAGCCCCCAGAACATAGTTGTATATTCTAGTTGTAGGTCCTTCTGGCTGTACTATGTGGGATGCCACCTCAGCATGGCCTGGTGAGCGGTGCCATGTCCGCACCCAAGATCTGAACTGGTGAAACCCTGGGCCGCTGAAGCAGCGCGCACGTGCGAACTTAACCACTCAGCCACGGGGCCGGCCCCTGATGTTATTACATTCTTGAATGAACAGACCCAATATGATTTATTTAGATATTTTCCCACTTACTACTGTTATCATCAAAATAAAACACAGACGTGACCACAGGGAGTTCCAGTTATTGGCTTCAGGGAGAGCCCTGGGCTGGAGAGTGTGGCTGAAAGCCCAAGGTGTTCACGGATGGCGGCCCAGGGGGTGGAGGGTTTGGAGAGGTCAGACAGGGAGGCAGCAGGCTGCCCCAGGACACAGGCGGGTCAAGGTCCGAGTTGGTCCTTCACTGAGGTGGCAGCTTAGGAGGGTGTCCACGGTCAGGGCGCCATGCAGATGGAAGGGGGTGGAGTCTGGGTGCAGTGGGGCGGGGGCATCCTAGTCAGGAGAACTGCTGACGCTGTGGAGGGCTTGGTGTAGGCCAAGTGTTATGCGGATTAGTTGTTATATTTTTATTCTCTTCTCAGTTGTACAGAATTGGTACTACAAGCACACCTCGGAGATATTGCAGGTTTCCAGACCACCACAATAAAACGAATATCACAATAAAGGGAGTCACAAATCTTTTGGTTTCCCTGTGTATAAAAGTTATGTTTACACTGTACCGTAGTCTATTAAGTGTCCAATAGCATTATGTCTAAAAACAATGTTCAGCGAGTTGTAATCTTTTTGCTGGTGGAGGGTCTTATAAAAAACACAATATCTGCAAAGTGTGATAAAGTGAGGTCTGCCTGTACTGTCACATTTCCCATCTTACAGATAGAGAAACTGAGGCTTGAGCTAAAGTACTGTTTCCAAGGTTACAGCACACACAGAGGCACAACTATCATTTAAGCACTGGCTGTTTGACTTCCGAGCATCCTCTCAACCATTCATTCAACAAAATTGTGGGGCCAGCCCTGTGGCATAGTGGTTAAGTTCGAGCACTCTGCTTGAGTGGCCTGGGGTTCCCAGATTCGGATCCCAGGTGTGGACCTATGCACTGCTCATCAAGCCATGCTGTGGCAGCATCCCACATACGAAAAATAGAGGAAGATTGGCACAGATGTCAGCTCAGGGACAATCTTCCTCAAGCAAAAAGAGGAAGATTGGCAACAGATGTTAGCTCAGGGCCAATCTTCCTCACCAAAAAAGAAAAAAAAAATGGTGTTGCGCACCAAGTCCTGTGCTAAGTGCAGGGGGGTACAGCATACAAGATATACAGAAATCTCTGCCTTTGTTGCATTTTTGTGGAGGCAACACAGACAGACAACAAACAGGGAGAACGTGTACTGTGCCAGATGGTGCAGTTGGGTATAGTGGGCATGGCTGCACGAGCCCCTCTCCCTGATACCCCCTTTTTCAGTGTGCCTCTAATGCTCTCCCCAGCAGGAAGAGGGGCTAGTCCCCTCCTCTAATTGTGGGTTGGCCCTAGGACTTGCTTGGACCAACAGAGTGTAGCAGAAGCGACATGGCGGGACCTGTGGGCTTAGCCTGAAGAGGACTGGCAGCTTCGAGCTCTGTGCTCCTGAAGGCAGCTGCCATGGCAAGAAGCTCGGGCTCACCTATGGGTGATGAGAGGCCACATGAAGAGAGAACCGAGGTGCCAGGGTGAGTCCAGCTTCCTGCTGACCGCCATTGCGTGGGATGGCACGTAGCCGGTGGAACGGTGAGCTCACAGAATCATGAGGAATAATCTGTCACCGCTGCTTTAAGCCGTTCAGCTTTGGGGCAGTTTGTTACACAGCAACAGATAACGAAGCAATGTCCATCCATGACAAGACAAGACAGGGACCTGTGTGGCTGGCGCAGAGCAAGCAGGGAAGGGGCAGAAAGTGAGGCCCCTTGGCCACTGAAAGGCCTTTGACTTCCACCCGGCAGAGAGGAGAGGCTTGGAGCAGAGGTGGGACGACCCGCTCAGCTTGCACAGACTCCCTGCCGCTGTCTGGAGAGCAGACTGAGGGGCAAGGGCAGAGCCAGGAGACCCCTCTGAGAGGCCTCTGCACTCATCCAGGTAAGCGGGGATGGTGACCCCACCAGGTGAGGCGTGTGAGTAGAACCGACCAGACTGGTCAGCAGGTTGAATCTGGCTGTCAGAGAGAAAAAGGAAGGATTCGCTTCAGCCACAGAAAGGCTGGCCTTACTGTGTCCTGAGATGGGGCAGCTTGTGGGAGCTCAGGAGTAGGGCTTCGAACAGGTACCCTGAGACCACACAGAAACCAAGGGAGGGGGTGAGGGTGCAGTGTGACAGATGCAGCCAGCACCCAGGAGGGGTGCCGTCTGCAGCCTCAGGTTAGCGGGGCCTCCGGGCGAGGAGAGCACCAGGAGATGCAGAGGATGTGTGAGCACTGAGTGCGGGCTCCCCCAAATCAGAGGAGGGAGACTGACCCAGGGCAGGGGAAAACTGGGCCAGGAGGTGGCCTAGAATCCAAGTGGAAAGGCTTTCAAAGAGGAAGGGTGAGCAATTGTACAGATGCCTGTCGGGTCACCTAAGATGAGGACCGAGGAGTGACCGGTCGCTGGAGGTCTGACCCGGCGGTTCTGGTGGTGAGCGGGCCAGGGCCTGCCCTCCTCTCCTGCAGACACCCTCCGTCCTCTTCGAGGTGATACTTGGCTTCTGTCACGAGTTATTTAAGTCGCTGAACCAAGCCAAGCCCCAGTGTCCTCTTTTGTAAACCCGGGTTATGCCACCCGCCTGCACAGGGCTGATGTGCAAATGAAATGTGAGCTGACACACAGAGGAAACAGAGCAATCACAGCACATGGGCCTTATTTGGATCCTGACTCAAACAAATAAACTGTAAAAAATAAAATGTATCAGGCGGTTGGGGAAGTGTGCCCCGTGATTGATATTAATATTGGACTTTAAAGGAATTGTGGTTGACAGTGGTAATAGGTTATGTTAGAGAGAGAGACAAGGAGAGTCTGTTCTTTCAGAAATACACAAGAAAATATTTTCTGGTGAAATCATATGATGTCTGGGATTTGCTTCAAAATTATGTTGAGGTGGAGGAAAGGGTGGGGCACAGAAGGAAGAAGACGGGCCAGTGACGGCAGGGGCTCTGTGTATCGTCTCTCCGCTTCTGCATATGTTTGAAATTTTAATAATGAAATGTTTTTTAAGTGTGTGCACGTACACACAGTGAGGGCAGCACTCTCTGCCAGGTGCTGTTCTAAGCACCCTACATGTGTCAGCTCACTGATGCCCAGGACATTCCTGTCAGTGGATGACATCCATGTTCCCATCTGCTGGGAAGGAGATAGAGACACAGAGAGGTCAAGTAACTTGCCGGAGTTTGCACAGCTAGTGAACAGCAGTGTTGGGATGTTGTCTTGGAATAACATTCCTGTGTTCTCCTTTATCCAGGTTGTCACCTGTGCTCCTGACGGCCCGGCTATAAATTGGGGTTCCCATAAACCCCTCCTCGAATTTGATAATTTGTTAGAACGGCTCATGGGACTCAGGAAAACAGTTTACTCACCAGATTACCAGCTCATCACAAAGGATGTTAAAGGATATGAATGAACAGCTAGATGAAGAGATACATAGGGCGAGATCCGGAAGGGTCCCAAGCGCAGGAGCTTCTGTCCCCGTGGAGCTGGGGTGCGCCACCCTCACATGGAAGTGTTCACCAACCAGAAGCTCTCTGAACCCATACTTTAGGGATTTTTGGGGAGGCTCCCTCATGCAGGTGTGATCCATCATCAACTCTGGCTCCGGCTCCTCTCCCTTCGCCAGAGGATGGGGGCTGGGCTGAAAGGTCCAACCTCCTAATCCCAGCGCGGTCTGGTGACCAGCCCCCATCCAGGAGCCATCCAGGAGCCCACCCAGAATCGCCTCATTAGAACAAAAGATGTTCCTTTCATCCAGGAAATTCCGGGGTTTTAGGAGTTCTGTGTCAGGGACCCAGAGGCAGAGACCAGTATGTATATTTCCTATTATTTCACAGACACGACCCAGGAAGCCTGGCTCCATCACAGATCTGATCTGTGCACTTCCAGAAACCTGGACGAGTATGTGACAAACTGCTACTTGTTCTCTCTGGGAGGTGGGATGGTCTGAAATTCAATAAAACATACACTCGTTTTGTTATTTTGCCTATTTGTGCTTTCTAATTTTCCTGCAATAAGCACACACCACTTGCTTAGTAAAGAACTTTGAAGTGACGAGAGTGTTCCATGGACCCACAGCCAGCAGCCAGAGGAGTCACAGCTTTGGCAGGGTGGGGTGCTGAGTTCTGCCTTCCTGCCCTGGGGTGCAGGGGTGGGGTGGGAGTGGGGCCTGCGGGGGCATCAGCCACCCTGAGACTCCCAGTCCTCATCTCACTTCTGTTGGCCCACAGCTGGCAGGATTCCAGACCCAGCAGCGAGGTTGGTGGGACCGGCTGGTGTCCAGCCTGGCACAGGCACTCGGGGCCATGCATGGATATGTGTGTCTGCGGCCTTGCCAGCCCCATAAGCACAGGCACATTTTAGGACATGGCATCTCAAAGGGGGATAGGGCAAAGTGGCCGCCACAATGTCACATATGACCCTTTCATCAAACCTGGGTGGGGTGGGTCGTTGTCCCACTTCTGCCCACACATGCTCCCTGGTGAGTCTGCCCTTCCCCTCACCCATCAGTCACCCCAAATCCACAGTACTCAGCTCATGCCCCTGGTTTCTGGAATGTGTGACCAGCTGCCTACAGGGCAGGCCCCCATGCTGGTCTGCCCCCCTTTCCCCTGTAACTGCTCTTCTCATGGGCCCTTCTCGGATCCCCACCTGTCAGTTCCCATCCAGTAGCCTCGCTGGCTCCTCCTTCAGCATCTACAGGGCCAAGGTCTTGTGGGCCCTGCCCCAGCATCATCCCCAGCCTGGCATCCTTGCACCCCACGGCCCCTCTGCCCTCCACATCTCCACTCAGCTGCGTGAAGCCCCACTGCCCACAGGGCAGAACCCAAGCACGAGCTGGCTTCCAGGGGCCACTGACCTACTCAGGCCTCACGCCACCCTCAGCCCCTGCCCACACGGTGCCCGTCCTTCTGAAATCCCTCCGGCTGCTCCCCGACAGCAGAGTCTTCTGGGCCTTGGCACACGCGGTCCCCTCTCCCAGGATACCATCCCTTCCCTGCAGTGACTTGCCTGGCTCATCCCACTCACTCTTTCCTCCAGGAAGTCTGTGCTCGTCCCCAAGCCCGGTTGGACCCCTGCGTGTCCCCAGCCCACTGGGCTGTAGCATCTGTCTCCTCTGCTGAAGAGAAGGCTCCCGGGGGCAGGGGCCCTCCCTGTGTGGGCTCAGGGTGGCCATGCCCACACTCGGAGCCAGTATGAATGCTTTCTGCTGGGCAAGTTGTCCTGGCACTAAATGCACACATCTGACTCTTGCTGCCCTCAACAAGCGCTGCTCTCCAGGAGAAACCCCTGTGCCCATGGTAAGCCTTCGCAGCCTGGGGCCGGCGCCACTGAGCTCACATGTCACCCACCCCCCTACATACCAGAGACCCTGTGGGCCAGCCTCGGATGCACACAGGATGGTGATCTCCCAGAATTCCAGGTCTTTGGGTTTCTGAATCTGACCCCTCACTCCTTGGGACTGTGTTTGTATGTAGGACTATGAGCCGGTGATTTAAAAGTGGGAAAAGGGTCTGGGCCTGTGGTGGGTGAGGGCCTGAGTGGTGTGGACTGGGATGGGACACGTGTTGTAAAGGCCCCACCACTGAAGTGGGGGAGGAGGAGGAGGAGCCAGCCTGGAAGTCTGCGTACCCCTAACCCTGTCCAGGAGAAGGAGGTCACGAAGGGCGCTGTGGCGGCCTTGGGTGATCAGGGGCCTGGCGACAGTGCCAGATGTAGGAACAGCTGCCTGGCACGGAGGAAATGGAAAAATGAGTGTGAACAGCTCCTTCAAGAGCTCGGTTGTGAAGAGGAAGATAGAGATGGGGAGGGCAGCTACAGGTCTTAGCCCTGAGAGCTCTGGGCACCACAGTGGCCTGGGGGGCGTCCTGACACCCCTCTCTAATGGCAGGAGCTGTGGTGCTGGGGGAGCAGGCCTGCTGGGGGTCCCCTTCTTTTCGGGGAGCTGGCTGCCGCTTCTTGTTTTCATTGGCTGGGCTTCTGGCTCAGGTCTGCAGGCAAACAGGCAAGAATGTGAGTAACTTACACACAAACTGATTATCAAATTGCTGATACCACGATTTGTTTCTTATTCTCATACTTTCCTGGGAGTTCAGCTTTTACACCCTCCTCTACCAGATACTGGGGTTTTTTTTTTACACCTTCCTAAGATTTTAGTAATCTTACCAGACACAAATATGAAAAGAATATCATTGGTAGCGAAGACTGTTAATTATTCCTCAGCATCTATTATCTCCTTCTTCTTTGGTAACAGAACCCCTGACATTTAGCTGGTACGAGGCCTTTGGAAAAAGACTATACTTCTCAGCTTCCCTTGTAGATGGGTATGGCCTGTGCCCAAGTTCTGGCCAAGACTGATGGAATGAACTTGGAGCTTTATGTGAGATTCTAGAAAGTGTTCTTAAAGGAAGAGATTGGGCTCTACTATTATTTCTTTTCCTCCTTTCTGCTGGTTGAGAAGATGCAATGATGGCTGGATCTCAAGCAGCTATTTTGCACCCTTGAGATGGAAGCCCTATGTTGAGAATGGGAGAACAACAAAATGAAAGGAGCCAGAATCTCTGACGATTGTTAGGCTGCCATACCAGTTCCGGACTGCTTACCTCTGGATTTTGTTTATGTGAGAGAATAAATTTCTATCCTATTTTAGCTATTGTTACATTGGGTTTGCCATCACTCACAGCTGATCCTAATCTTAACTGATAAGCCATTGCAGATAAATGGAAGTTGCAGGTTCTGAGTTGTCAATCAATTGTCCCTTAGTTGGGACACAGGACTTCTCTGTGCTATATGAGATGATTCAAACCTGAGTCTCTTGTATTAGACTGAGTTATTTTTTTTTTCCAGGAAGATTAGCCCTGAGCTGACATCTGCTGCCAATCCTCCTCTTTTTCCTGAGGAAGACTGGCCCTGAGCTAACATCTGTGTCCATCTTCCTCTACTTTATACGTGGATGCCTACCACAGCATGGCTTGCCAAGCCGTGCCATGCCCGCACCTGGGATCCGAACCGGCAAACCCTGGGATGCCAAAGCAGAACACGCGCTTAACTGCTGTGCCACCGGGCCGGCCCCGACTGAGTTTCTCTTTATATTAAAGTTTTACTTGCTAGGTTCTGGAGCTCTTAAGTCCTATCTTTCAAGGAGATTTTCAATTTTGGAGGCTTTGTATCTCTTCCAGAAATGAGTTAGTCAGGCAGTACCTGACCCACTGTCCTCTCAATGATGTTGGCCTCATCTATCAGCATTCTTAAGCATATGCATGTTACTTATCAGTGTCTTATTATGCTTAGTTGGGGTTTGTTTTCAGGCAGAGATGCTTCCTCCTGGGAGACAGGACCTGTGCGGTTTATCAGGACCCTCTGGGCGCTCACCCACGGCCAAGCTCCTCCCACGGCCAGTACTGACCACGCTCCTGTCCTCGGCACAGTTCCAGCTGGTTGTCTGTCTCAGAAGATCCTGTTGAGGTATTTATCCTGTAGTTAGGCATTTAATAGATATGTACTCAGGGCTTCTGTGTGCCAGGCCTGCTCCAAGCATGGGAGACACGGTTGTCAATATCACCGCCCCAATCCTGGGCCTCGTGAAGCCGGCGCTGCTGGTGGGAAGACAGATAATAAACCCGCAAGATAAGTTTTGGCTACTGCTGAGTCACCAACCACCCAGTTCAGCAGATTAAAACAATCATGTTTATTAACTCACATGCCTGCCAGCTGTCCAGGCAGCTCTGCCCGCCTGAGCCCGGCTGGGCTGCTCTCGCTGGTCTCCTGCACCTGTCCCGCTGCCCGGGTGGCGGTCTCGCATGCCACGGCTTTGCCCCCGGTGGTCTCCGCCTCCCGCAGGCTAGCCCGGGTGTGCTCTCATGGTTCTGGAGGGCTGAGGGGAGAGGGGACTCTGCAGTGCTTTTTCAAGCCTCTCCTTGAGCCAGTTTGTTCCTGTGCCACTGGCTGAGCCAGAGGGAGGGGCGCACAGGCGCACGGCAGGGCCAGGGGCACTGGCAGGCCACTTGACTGGAGCTGTTAGGCCCCAGCAGGCCAACATGTGAGAGAGAAAGCAGGAGAGTGGGCTAGGGCCTTCCGGCAGATATTGGGGAGGGCTGACGTTTCACACAGGGAGGTGAGGAAGCTTCAGTGAGAAGGGGGCTTTGAGTAAGGGCCCAAAGGCAATGACATCCGAGGAAGGGGCGCAGCAGGCAGATGGAACAGCACGTCCCCTGAAGCAGGATGTGCCAACTGTTTTGCTGGGATTTCCTCCCACTAAAATGGGCAATGTGTTATGTTAGTCTGGGTGCGCCAGGGCAGGCCTTCTTGGGGGCTATCACACACCCGAAGTCCCCATGGATGGGTTGGACATGTGAGGCTTATCACCTCCAGAGCCACATGTTTCTCCTGCCTTGCACCTCGGGGCAGGAAAGTCTGTCCTGGGGGTGGGGGTTGGGGCACATGCTCATTATAAGGCTGGCATCCAGTTTCCCGAGAAGACGGGCCCAGGGCCTACCCAACCTCAGGTCCTCTTGTGGCTCCTGGGGAGGGGAGCTGGTGCAGCCATGTTTGGGCGCACAGCTGACCCTCTGGCTGCAGCTGATTGGAATAAGGCGTAGGCTGGAGTCCAGTCGCCTGGTCGGAGCCTCTCTGGGAAACATGTGAGCTGAAGTGCCGAGGTGTGGAGGGGCGTGGGTGGACAGTGGAGGCTGGGCTACAGAGGAGAGCAGAGGATCTCTGTCCTACCGGGCACCTATGGGATGGCCTTTCGGGGCTCAGCTGCTTTAGATATTGATAAGGGTTCTCCAGAGGAACACACCCTATAGCGTAAAGAGACAGAAAGAGATTTATTAGGAAGGATTGGCTCAGTCGATTACAGAGGCTAAGTCTTGCTGTCTGCCATCTGCAAGCTGGAGGCCGGGAGAGCCCGTGGTGTCATTCAGTCCAAACCTGAAGGCCTGAGAACCAGGGGAGCTGATGTCCGAGAGCAGGAGAGGACATCTCAGTTCAAGCAGAGATGGGGGCCCACCGCCTGCAGGAGGGCCGGCTGCTTTTCTCAGTCCGCTGGTTCAGATCAGTCGATTGCTTCTGGAAACACCTGCACAGACACACACAGAAATAATTTTTTACCAGCTCTCTGAGCAGCCCTCAGCCCAGTCAGAGGAACCATAAAATTTGCCATCACAGTGGGATTCTGTTCTTTGCGGCCAAATGATCCTGAATGAGAGAGACTTCCCAGCACTGCCCGTGCCAGGAGGTTTCTAATCTTTGAGGATTTGATACAGGAAAAGTAGTACTCAGTATGTTTTAATTTGCATTTTCGTAATTTTTAGTGAGATCAACATTTTTGCCTATGTTTATTGGCCGCTTAATGTTTCTTCTTCTGTGAATTGCCCGATTCCGTCTCCTAGCTCACTTTGAAAAAGGGAAATAAAGTCAAATTGGTTTTAAAAATGTAAAGAACTTTATTTAGCAGCTTCCCTTTATTGAAGACTTACTGGTTTTGGGGCACAGCTTTCTAGATTTATCTCAATGAATCCTTGTGCCATTTTCATGAGGTAGTGGTAGTGTCATTGTTGTCCCACTGTAGGGAGGAGAGAAACTGAGGCTCAGAGAGGCTCTGGGGCCGCGGGAAGCTCCTGAAATGCTGGCTTCCTGACCCACGGCTACAGATCCCTTCCCGGCATTTGGTTTGCCTTTTAATTTCTTGTTCAGCATATTTGGAACAGAAAGCTAAAACTTTTATGCAACCCAAGTTCCCGAGCCTTCCTTCTACAGTTTCTGCTTAGAAACACTTCCCCCACAAAGAATATAAACACAGATTCTTATGTTTTCTTTTAATATTTTGATGGTTTCTCTTAGCATCTCCAGCTCTAATCTGCTGGGAGTTCATTTGGATGAAGGAGTGAGGTACGGTCAACATTCTTTTTTTTCACTGCACCCTCTTTGGAGTGGAACGACCTGCCTTTCCCCTCGGACGTAACAGTGGCTGATTGTCACACTAGCTGCCACATGTCCTGGTCCCAGTCTGCAGGCTGCAGAATTACTCATGGCACTGGAAGCCGCCTCCCGCCCCCTGCCTGTCAGTGCCCCCGCAGCTGCGGTGACCCCCCGTCTCCCCAGGGGCTGGGCGCTGCGGTGAGTGGAAGGAATTCGGGTGAACTCTGCTCGCTCAGCAGTCCAGGCCCGGGGAGCTGGGCGGGGGCACCGGGCTGTGGAAAATCACATGTGGTTTTCAAGTTGTCGGAAACGAAGAAAATGGTTCTGCCAGTTGTGCGGACGGCTAGACACTGTCTGGGAGACCCCAGGTCCTGTGGCTCTGGGAACCACCCTCCTTGTGGGCCCCAGCAGTCTGACCCCTCTGGTAACATCCAGACTGCAGACAAGAGGGTGTTTCTAGAGGCCTCCCCTGAGGGAGCAGCAGAGAGACAGGACGGGCCTGGGTCCTTCTCCCTTGTTCCCTGGAGGCAGATCCCGGACTCCAGGAGACTGGGAGGGGCCGGGACCTGAGCCTGGGCCTTGCTGTCCAGAGCCCAGGGTTCCCGGGCCTTCCTTACATTCATGCTGCCCAGCTGGGCAGTGGAGGAAGGGCCCACTCGGGCGTGTCAGTGTCGTGGCTTCACCTCCCCCGAGGCCCGACCTTCTGTGTCTGAGCTGCTGCCTCAGAGACCCCAGGCACTTTGGGGGGTCTCCTCCGGGCCTCCCAGGCTCTGCTCCTGCTTGCCCCATCGCTGTGTCCTGAGGCTGCCCCAGCTAGAACTCCAGCATGTTGGTCCTGCGGGCGGGTGAGTTTCCCACCTCTGCCCAGGCCGAGGCACCAGGGCGGCTCCTGGTGATGCTTGGGCCTCAGTGAAAGGGGCTGGTGCCACTGTGGCCCCGTGGCCAGAGGCTGTGGAGTCCGGGTGGAAAGAGCCTCAGAAGTCCTCGCCTGGACCTTCCGTGTCACTGACACGCTGTGACCTGGACCCATCACTTCTCCCTGGGCCTCAATTTCATCACTTAGAAATGGGGAAAGACGGTGCACACACTCACTCAGCATTAATCCCTGCCCAAGCTGCTGGCGGGGCCACGGTCTGAGACACAGTGACTGACGTTCAAAGTCACTGAAGAGGGTAGAGTCTCTTTTGCTGGAGTACCCCCTCCCTTTCTCCCACTTCCCAGGGTGTCAGTGCCCTCCCTCCCCTGTGCCCTCTGTCCCAGGCGGGCCAGTCACTGACTTCCTGTTCCCGCTGGCCTGAACATCTTCAGAGGAAGGTTACATCCATGATTGTTGGATCTCTGGGCCACGTTCAGGCTGGTACCTTGTTGAAAGTTCTGTAAAGACCTGCCCAGTGAACCAGCGAGCCACAGCCTGGGACACACACCCATAGAGGCATGCACAAATGCCTAGGGACCCAGAGGCGAGGCGGCTGGTGCTGGGGCAGAGGAGGGCAGGGCAGGGTGTGGATTGGGGACTGGGAGGTGGAGGGCGATGAGATCACGGACTTTCTGGCCACAGAAACATGGGGTGAGGCAGTCTCCTGCTGAAATGGCTGGCAGGTCCTGGCAGGATGGCCTGGGGACATCTTTTTGGGTACTCAGGCAGCTGAGATGTGGTGTCCGTGGGTGCAGATTTTCTGCTGAAACCTTTAGAGTAGATGAGTTCCCTGAGAGCCCCAGAGCACGGCTCTTCCCTGTAGAGGCCAGTAGAACGTCTTCAGGGAGGGGCCACCCAGGGCTCAGGGCGACCTCCTCGAGGGGTCCCCACATTCCAGGGCATGGAGAGAGTGCTTAGAGGGAGCCACTCCCTGTCTCCACCTCCTGGAGAGGTGTGGTCACCATGTTTAAAGCAGGAACCCTGAGGTCCGGTGAGAGGAAGGAGAATGGCCCCCCCCCGCCCCCCCCAAGTCACCAGCAGGGGGTGGGGGGCATCCAGGGATGTGACTGACTCTCATGCCTCCCAAGGCTCAGCCTAGCATTGCCTCGAGGTCTGAACTGTCTGTGCTGCAAAGATAGATACGCTCGCTGCTTGACCAGGACCATCCGAATGGGAGACCCTTCCTATTGGGGTGGAGGGCGGTGGGCGGTCATGGAGACACCCGCCTCTTATAGCCTGAGTTAGCTGAGGTCATCATTTCATCATTTGAAGACTGGCTCTGGGATGGCCGGGAGGAAGCAGGAAACCCCCTCTCAGCCCTGCCCCAGGCCCATCCTGGGGTTTCCTTCTCACCACAGGGAGTGGTCTGAAGGCATGAACAAGGCAAGCCCAATCTAAATCAAAGCTTCCATTTCTCATGTGATTCACAGCGTCTTCCCTCCCTATCCCCGTGGGACTGACCCCGCCATTGTGGAAGAGGGTGGGTTCCATTCCTTCCCATTCCTGCTCACCTCTTCGCTGCCTCCCAATGTGGGTCTCCCCAACCCCACCCTGCTGGGGACAGGGAGGGGCATGACTGAAAGGGGCAAAGTGGCCTTGATGCCCACCACGTGACATCTTTGCCTCCACGTCCCCTGCCCTCCACGGCAGCCCAAAGGCCCTCTGCAATGTCTCTGCTCCTGACCTTGGCGGGGCACCCACCCCCAGCTCTCTCTCCTGGGGCCTCCCACCCTTGCAGGCAGCCCTCCTGGCTTGTTTCTTTCTCGATGGCCTCAGAGGTGTGCTCTTGGCCCTTGAGCCAAACAGGCCCGACCTGCCTGGCTGGGGGGGTGTGGGGGTGTGTGGTGTGAGACGGCAGGCCACGCCCTTCCTCCTTGCCCTGCATCAGTGGGCTCCACGGCCTCACCCTCAGCTCCATGCACCCTCTTCAGCCCTTGTGTCAGGCTCCCTCAAGAACTCTCCTTTCCCACTTGGAAGCAGCGAGGGGAGGCCCACCAGGGTGAGATGTCACCTTCCCTCTCCCTGTCAAGCCCAGTCTTGCTGCAGCCCCTTAGGAAAACCTTCAGTGAGAGGGGGGGAAATGTCCTGCCTTCTCTCAGGAAGCTGGAGGTGGGAGGCGGGATGGGGGGCCCCAGGGTGTCCAGCAGACCCCAGACTAGCTCATGAGAACCCTTGGACATGGACACAGACCACCACCCTGTGGCAGGGGGCACTGGACCCTGGAAGGGTCAGCAGCAGCCATAGGAGGCCACTAGCCTCCCACCCCTCCACCTGCCTCTTCCTGGCCTGGGCTCCTGCCCTTGGGGAGTTTGGTTCAGATGCTGTGCTGCTCAGCAGATGGGCCTCCTGACATGGCCTGTGGTTGCCTCCCGGCCCTGGGTAGAGCCCCAGGCCCAGGTCTTAGGGACTTCCTGGGTGTGGGTCTTAAAGCTAAGTGGGGTCTCAGCCCCACTCACTGATGGTGGTGTACCGGCCTGGCATGGAGAACAGTCACCCCTTCTCCCCACCTGCCCGGACCCTCCTGGGCCAAAGGCCCCCAACTTCCTGGCCTCCTGGGGGCCCAGTGCCCCATGAGGCCTTTGCTCATACTCCCGTTGGTGACTCACTGTGACTGAGGAAAAGATTGTTTCTATTCCTTTTTAATTTTTTTATGGCTTCTATTTTCCCTGGCAGAGGATCTTGGGCCCAAATCCCATCCATGTGGGAGCCAGCTGAACTCGGGAGCCGTTCCCAGGGAAGTGACGTGCCACAGCCGCCCCCAGCCTTGGGCCTCCCTGCTTGATACACTCAACTGGGGGCAACGGAGCAAATTCCAAGACAAAGTTTCGAGAACAATGATTCAGAGGCTCGTAGAGGACATTTATGGGTAAGAGCTTGCTTCATCCTACTGGACCAGCCTGGGGACACATGGCAGGGCGAGGATGGTGCAGGGACAAGGAGGTCTGACTGGGGGAGGGGCTCCACAAACCTAGGTCAGTGGACTTGGTCTCTGAGGGGACGTGACAAGACTGGGGAGCCAGCGGGTTGTGAGTGCTGAAATGGTGCTAGGCGCAGCACGTGCATGGTCCCCTTTCACTGCACCATGAGGGCAGGGGAGACAGGGGAGCAGGGAGGTTACTTGCTGTGATCAGATGGCCAGGAGGACAGAGCTGGGATGTGACCCTAGGGACCAGCTCTTGACACAGCCCCACTGCCTTTGTAAGTGTGAACAAGGGCGAGCCAGAACAAAGCGGAGGAAGGGCTTTGAAAGGAAGAGGTGGGAGGAGGCAGAGCCCCCTGGGTCCTGCTCCCAGTCAGGGGCTGAGCCAGCAGCTGACCGAGGCTGCGTGCAGGGCCTGGATGCTTCCCAGCCTGCTTTTCCTCTTTCCCTTTGCCTGGAGGTCCAAACTCTGCTTGTCAATCATCCCAGGGGCTCCTGGGTTTTCCCACCTGACTACTTCACTGGGCCAAACCCTCACAGATGACCCTGGGTCTGGGCTGACTGCCGCTAAACTTGCCCCATGGGCTCCTTGTGTGCTTTTTCTGGCTTCCTTATTTCTTCAGGGAGGAATGTTCTGGGAGCTTTGGCCTTAGGTGTGATACCCATTTGGGGTCAGCCAACGTTTGCCCTTCGAGAAGCCTTATGGAAACACCAGGCACACAGGTCATAAATCCCTATGCCAGCGCCCATACAGACATTACTAACAGAGCTGGGATTCTCTGATTACCCAGTCTATGTGCCCCCTGGGTCCATATGGTAGCTGGAGCTATTGTAAACAGTTTTTAAAAACTGTGTTCTGACAAGTGGAAGGAGAGAAATGGCTGTTTGTCCATGTTGGGATCTCAGCTGGTGGGAAAGCAGCATATCCCTTGAGGTGAGGCAATGCTCATTGTGGGAAACAGTATAAGAAATTGTAGGGGAGGGGACCTGACCCCAGACATTTGCGCCTCCTGGTTGGGTGGCCAGTGACTGTTTCCAGGGCACGTCCCCCCACACAGCTTTGTTGGGTTGAAGGCACTCATCCTCTCTCCCCAGCTGGTCAATGTCCTCAGGGGCTGTGCCTGATCTCCTATGTGGTTGTGGCCCCCACATCTTCCACACGGAGCTGGGTTCCCCGGCCTTGCCCCTGAAATCTTCCCTTGCTCTGACCTGGCTTCACCTAAGGCTGTGCCATCTGCTCGTGAGGCCAGAGAAGTGGGTTGCTGCCTCCTACCTCCTTGTCAGGGTTCTTAATCTGGGATCCAGGCATCCCTCCTTAGGGTGCAGGACTGCAGGGGTGGGCAAGAAGCCCCTGAACTTGGATGGAAATCGCTGTAAGGGCTGAGTTCCTCCACACCCCTGACAGCCCATTCCTATGGATTACACATACAATTTAATAAAATTTGAAAGGAATCTCTCCCCTCCCTGCTCCACCTCTGCCTGCCTCCCAAGTTGCCCTTGGGAGGGGACAGGAGCTTACATGGGGGCTCCTACCCCCAGCAGAGAAGTCATCCTGCCCTGAGGACAGTTTTGCACCTGCTCCTCTCACTAATGAGGGGGTTCCCAAAGTGCGGTCCCTCCTCAGAGTCGGGCTTGTCTGGACCTGGGAGGTTAGCTGGATGTCTGAATGAAGGCTGGTGACAGTTTGCAGAGCTGCCAGGCCAAGGCTCCAGAGAGAGGGTAGGATGGGTTGGCTAGGCACACTCACGACCCTTCTGAGGCCGGAGATGGAGAGGGTCCCCGAGGCCAGAGTCCGCAGCTTAGCTCTCTATTAGGGTTCCCGGTCACCTCCAGTGGGCTTGATGGCATCTCCCCTCCTGGTCCTGGCTGACTTGGGGGCGGTGCCATGGACGAAGCGAGACAGGGGTGTCGGCCCCCTCGGACCCGCACCCTCAGGACCTCCCATTTCCCCGACCCTCCTTCCCCGCAGGCCCTCCTTCCTAGGCGCAGGCCTCCGGCCCGGGACACCGCCCGCAGTTCCCGCTTCGGAAGTGCCCAGCGCGCGGCGCCCGGACTGCTCCGCCCCCCGCAGCCCCTCCGTCCACGCCCGGCTCCTCCTCCTCCTCCTCCTTCCCGGGGGTTGGGGAGCCGGCTCCGGAAGCCCTGGCGCCCCCGCCCCGGCCGCCACTGGAGCTTTGGAGAGGGCGGTCCGCGCGGGAGCGTGCCTCGCGGGGCCGGAGCTCCCAGCCGCCGCCAGCGCCTCGGAACCCCCGGACCACCCCTGAGCTCCCACCGACCCCTGAGCCGCTGCCTGGCTCCGAAGCCCCTGCGCCTCGCCCCAGAGCCCCCCGCCTGCCCCTCCCCGGAGCCTCCCGCGCCCCATCCCGGAGGCCCTCGCCCGCCCTCCCAGAGCCCCCCCTCCCCATAGCCCCCCTCCCCGCACCCCTGCCCCCTGGGGCCCCCCACGCCCCTGCCCCCCGGAGCCCCCGCGCCCCTGCCCCCGAGGCGTGCCGTGGCCATGGCGGCTGTGCGCGGGGCGCCCCTGCTCGGCTGCCTCCTGGCGCTGCTGGCGCTGTGCCCCGGGGGGCGCGCGCAGACGGTGCTGACCGACGACGAGATAGAGGAGTTCCTCGAGGGCTTTCTGTCGGAGCTGGATCCCGAGCCCCGCGAGGACGACGTGGAGGCCCCGCCGCCCCCCGAGCCCACCCCGCGCGTCCGCAAAGCCCAGACGGGGGGCAAGCCGGGGGCGCGTCCAGGGGCGGCCAGAGAGGGAGAGGGTAAGAGCCCGGGGCAGGGGTGGCCCCCCGCCGCGTGATGGGGAGCCTCGGGGCGCCCTGCACCTCAGGTGAGAATGGCGGCCTCGGCGGGGTTTGGCCGCTGTCCAGTCTGCCCAGCGTGAGGAATGGCTCGGTAAGGCACCAGAGAGAGCCCAGATGTCTGGCGGGACACTGTGCCAGGCAGAGGTCAGGGCTGGCTTGTAGCCCTTCGGGCGTGGAGGCTCGCCCAGCAGGTCTGCTGCCTGGTGGCTTGAGTCGTCCCAGTCCCTCATTCCCAGGGACTAGGCTTGAGTCAGCAGGGGACTTTGCTGCCCCCTCCCCAGGTCTCTGCTGTGAACCACCGCGCTGTCCTAATCGGGCACTCGGCCAGTTTGTGGCACACGCTCACCATGCCCATGCTGCTGCCACGGTCCTAGCCTCAGGCTTTCCCTGGGAGGGGTCCCCAGCACCCTCCAGCCTGGCCTTCTCCAGGACCCCCTGTGGGCAAGACTTTCCCGGAGCAGCCAGGCAGTGGGTAGTCTCAGGTTATTGTGAGGATTGAATGAGGTGATAACATCACCAAAGCATTTAGCCCAGGGCCTCTTACATAAGCACTTGTCAATAAATCTTAGCTGTTTTTTGTGACCTGAGGGTGGCAAGGGTCTTGTTAATCTCTCTCTCCCAGGAGACTCCAAGCCACCATCCATCATTCCTGAGGTCAGCAGCCCCTCCCTCTAGATGTTTCCTGGCTCCTCCCCAGCTCCTGGGAAACAGGTCCTGGGACCCACTAAGGCTCCCCCACACCCAGCTCCCATTCCAGGCTACTGTCCCAACCTCTTGGATGCTGCTGTGGCAGCCCCATTCTCCTGTCTGTCTGCATTTTGTAAATTTCCTTGTGTTTCTGCCTTGTGAGCCGCCCCCCCCACCATTAAATTCTCAACAACATTTGCCCAGGGTCCTGGAGGATTCCCACAGGCAGCCCCATGCCCTGCCCCTGCTTCCTCCCCCAGGCTCTGAGATGTTGGAGCAGCCGCAGCACCTGCCTGTCCCTCTGTCCTCTGTGTGGCCCCAGGACCCCTACTGCTTATGGCTTCCAACCTGCCCCAGACCCCTTACTTCTGGATAGAGGATTGCCCACGATGCCCCTTTTCTCTGAAGCTTTTCTTGCCCCTGCAGGGAGCTTCTGGGAGGCCCCGTGCCCATGCCCTGTACTTTGTGTGGCAGTTGGCAGGGATGAGACCCCCTCCCCCCCCGCCCCGGCCTTAGACTGGGCGCTCCCCCAGGCCTGGGTGGCTTAGTCACCTCTATGCCCCTCCCATCCCCAGCAGAGAACAGTGCTCCCTGTCTGGCCGAGTGGACGTGTGGGGAAGGAGGGGATTGTCAGGGGCCCCTGTTGAGGTTTTGGCAGGTGGGAGCTGAGTTACCCAGGCCAAGATGTGGTGGTGACGGCATAGACTCGCAGACAGAAAGCCTGGGTTCCAATCCCAGCTCTGCCACGATGGCAAGGCACTTAACCTCTCAGTTTCCCGCCTTAGGAAGCATGGGACTAACAGGAGCCCCTACAGCCCAGGTTGTGGACACCTTGGGGGGCCACATGGGGTGGAGAGTGGGCTCTTTGTTGATTTGAACTAAATCTGCATCTTGGACAGCACCTCCAGAAAAGGTCAAAGACAAAGGAAAGAAAGGGAAGAAGGACAAAGGCCCCAAGGCCACCAAGCAGCCCCTGGAGGGGTCCCCCAGACCACCCAAGAAGCCCAAGGAGAAGCCACCTAAGGCCACCAAGAAGCCCAAGGAGAAGCCACCCAAGGCCACCAAGAAGCCCAAGGAGAAGCCACCTAAGGCCACCAAGAAGCCCAAGGAGAAGCCACCCAAGGCCACTAAGAAGCCCGTGGCTGGGAAGAGGCTGCCCACCCCAACCCCCTCAGAAACCCCGTGGTGGCCACTGCCCCGACCCCCCGGCCCCGGGCCCGAGGAGAAGCTGCCCCAGGAGGGAGGTGTGTGCTGGGCTCTTCCAGGGCTGTGGGGCTCTGACCTGCTGGGCTGCAGGGGTGGGTGGGGGTGGGGGGCAGGTCCCTGGGCTCCCGCTTTCTGCAGACCCTCAGGGCCCTCTGGACAGGGTGACAGGGTGAACTCTGGGACCTCGTTGTTGTCATGATCGGCAGTCTGTTGGAGCTCCGGCAGTACCACTGCCTCCCCTCAGTAGGGGAGGGCTTGCTGGCCTTGTGGGTGGGGCTGGCTCTCCACTGTCCTGGGATCTGTCCCCAGGCCCCACCCAAAGGCCCCCTCCCCGCCCCCATGTGTCGCTGGGCTCTGAGCCTGCAGGGTGGCCTCCTGCTGGGGCAGCTTTGTGGCTCCCCAGAAAGCCACCCAGCTCTCTGGCCCAGGGAATACCAGCTGGGTGCTGAGGACCAGAGAAGCTCAGGCCTCCTGGGAGCAAGCCGAGGCTTTCGGGGTGTCAGGAAGAGCCAGGTTTTGTGTCAGCTCAACATGCAGCCGGTGGTCAGGGCAGGCTTCCCATCCATCTGTTTCTGGGGTTTGCGTTGCAGGGGGTGCCCTCCCAAGTCCCTGGCAAGGGCCAGGAGGAGAGACCGATGTGGAGCACCAGCCTGGTGAGTGGGCGCCGTCCACCTGGCCTCGGGGGCCACCCGCCCTGGCTTTCCAGGGTGGGCCTTGGGGGGGTGGTCAGTGAGTGTCCATCAACGAGGCAGCCACGAGCGTTTTCCCCCAGAGCTGGAGGAGGAGACCGAGCAGCCCACGCTGGACTACAACGACCAGATAGAGAGGGAGGACTATGAGGACTGTGAGTAGGACCCCCACCGCCCAGATCCCAACCCCTGCCCGGGGGTCCACTGATGGTCCACCCAGAGGCCCCACCCTCCCAGCCCCGCTGCCTTCTGAGGAGGGGCCTTGGCCCAGCTCAGAGCCCACCCTCCCCCTAGTTGAGTACATCCGGCGCCAGAAGCAGCCCAGGCCGCCCCCCAGCAGGAGGAGGCCTGAGAGGCCCTGGCCTGAGCGCCCTGAGGAGAAGCCGGAGCTGCCCAGGCCAGGGGTCAAGGCCCCAGAGGAGGAGGAGGAGAGGATCGGTAGGCTGGGGGCAGACAGGGGAGGGGGCACTGGGCGAGGAGGGCTCTGGCCCACTCTTGCCTCCCACCTCCACAGAGCTGCCTCTGAAGCCACTGCCACCCCCGCCACTTCCTGACTATGGAGATGGCTACGGGGTCCCCGACTATGACGACAGTGAGTGCCCATTACACCCCAGGATCCGAGGCCAGGCCGACCACCTTGGAACTCCAGCTTGGTGGCCGTTACCCCACCACCCCTCCCACCCCCACTCCCCTCCTGGTTCCTGGCTCCTGACTTGCTCTTCCCTCCAGACTTTTCTTCCCGAGCCCCAGTGAGCTCCTCTCTGTCCCTCCTGCCCTCCAGTCCTACTCACCCCTCTTTCGCCCCACAGGACTCCCACCCCTTCAAGGCAACCGCCTTCCTCTCCTTCCTGCTCCTTGGCCCTGTGCCTTCAATTCGCCCTTCCTGGGCCTTGGGCCTTTTCCCTGCCCCCAGGCCCCCCGCCAACTCCTCTAACCCTGGGCCTAGCTCAGCCCTTCAGACCACCCTTTTCCTGGACACAGGTGCCAGTTGTCGCTTGAGGTGTGTGCCCACATCCCACTCCCTGCCCAGCCTCATCCTGAACCTTTCCCCAGGCCAAGCCCCCCTGCTGGGCCAGGCTGGTGACTTTTCCAGGGTTTTGTTCACTCCACTTGTGCCCAGGCAGCCTCCTCTTCCAGGAGGACCCTCCCTCCTTCTCTCAGCCTTTCTGGATTCTTCAAGCCTCACCTCGATCCTACTTCCTCGTCGTGTGCTCCCTCCTGCCCAGTCCTGCCCGCTGGGATCCTGTGAACCCAGGACCTCTGGCTCACGGTGTGGGGCCCTGGGAGCAGCTCTGGGCCTTCTCAGTAGGGTTCTCCCTCCCTGCAGTGGACTATTACTTCCGGCCTCCGAGGCCCCAGAAGCCCTACACAGAGCTGGAAACAGATGAAGAGAAGGAGGGGCTGAGTGAGTGAAACCAAGCTGTTCCCACCCCACCTGCCCCCAGTGCAGGCCTGACCCCCATCCCACCTGCCCCCAGTGCAGGCCTGACCCTCACTCTGCCCCCCCTCAGCCTAACCCCCACCCCCAAATGTCCCCCGAAGCCCAGGGCTAAGCTGACAGGCCCCTTCCACCTTCCTCTCTTCAGAGAAACCCAAAAAGGAGGGCGGCAGCCCCAAGGAGGAGGAGACGGATGACAAATGGACTGTGGAGAAGGGCAAGGACCCCAAAGGTACATGTCTGGGGGCTGAGGGCAGGGCCCACAGAGCCTGGGTCCCTGTGGGACAGCGGCTGCACTTGTGGATGCTCCGGGACCCTCGGCGCCACATCCTCCCTTTGTTGTCCCCCAGGGCCCCGGAAGGGTGAGGAGTTGGAGGAGGAGTGGGCTCCAACAGAGAAAGTCAGTGAGTGAGGGGCCCTGGGGGTGTGGGGATGTCGGGGGCAAGGGGGGGCTGGGGGACCGTGGGGAGCGGGTATGGGGGTTGGGGGTGTGTGTGGGGCTGCGGGTGGGTATGGGGACTGGGGGCATGTTTGGGGGCTGGCGGGGTGTATGGGGGCTGGGGCTGTGTATCGGGGGGCCTGGCAGTGTATGTGGGGGAGGGGGCTAGAGGTTATGTGGGGGTGTGTGAGGGCAGGGGGGCCATGTGGCCACAGCAGGGTAAGGGTGCTGAGACAAGTGACCCATCCAAGGCCACACATGGGTCCCAAACTGGTATTTCCTGATGGTGCTCCAGGGCTCCAGAACCCTTTCCTGCTCTTAAACTCTTGGGGCCCAGAAGGGAGGGGTCCTGGAGCATATCTGCCCTGGGCCTGACCCAGGAACAGAGCTGGTGGCACAAGGCAGGTGTGCAGCTGGGCCCAATACAGAGGATGCCTGTGACTGACTGGCCTTGGGGTGGCTGTGCCTGTGATTTCATGTAAGCCCCATGACCCCTTAGAGCCTGGCATCATCAGCCCATTCTCCAGATGGGGAAGCTGAGGCACAGGGAAGGGAAGCACAGGCTGGGGCGGAGGGGAGTGGGCTCTGGGCCCCTTGGTTCTGGGTTTTGTGGAGGGAGGGATGGAGCCAGTGGGCCACCAGCCTGGGGTGCCGTGTCCCTAGAGTGCCCCCCCATCGGGATGGAGTCGCACCATATCGAGGACAACCAGATCCGGGCCTCCTCCATGCTGCGCCACGGCCTGGGGGCACAGCGTGGCCGGCTCAACATCCAGGTGGGTGTTGGGGACAGGCCCACCTACCAGCTGGGCAGAGAGCTCCTCCACCTTCTCAGCCTCTCCACCACCCGTGACAGGCTGGTGCCACTGAGGACGACTACTATGATGGGGCATGGTGTGCCGAGGATGACGCTCAGACCCAGTGGATTGAGGTGGACACCAGAAGGACCACTAAGTTCACAGGTGTCATCACCCAGGGCCGTGACTCCAGCATCCAGTATGTCAACCAGGCTCACAGGCACTTGGTGGGGGACGGGTGGCTCCAGGCACAGCTGGGTCCCATTAGAGACATTCCCCTGGGCCCTCCAGGGCCCTTTTCCCTGCTCCTGGGCCATGGCTAGTCAGCTCTCCATGTCCAGTTGAGCAAACCACTCCTCCACAGCCGCACAGCAAGCATAGGAACTGCTCCTGACGCCCAGGCCCAGACCACACACCCCTGCTAGCTGAGTTCTTGGGCCCAGAAGAGGGGGCTCAGGCTGCTGGAGGCCTGGGAGTGAGGCAGGGAAATCAGCCTTGCCCTGACTGCTGTCCCCTCCCCAGTGACGATTTTGTGACCTCCTTCTTCGTGGGCTTCAGCAATGATAGCCAGACATGGGTGATGTACACCAATGGCTACGAGGAAATGGTAGGCACCCAAGCCCTCAGCTCTGCTCCCATTGTCTGGGCTGCGGGTGGACTCTCGGCCAGGGTGGGTTGCTGCTGAGGCCCGCCTCTCCCCAGACCTTCCACGGCAATGTGGACAAGGACACACCTGTGCTGAGTGAGCTCCCGGAGCCAGTGGTGGCCCGCTTCATCCGCATCTACCCACTCACCTGGAACGGCAGCCTGTGCATGCGCCTGGAGGTGCTGGGGTGCCCCGTGTCCCGTGAGTGCAGGGGGCTGGAGGGGCTCGCAGGGGCGGCTGGGGCAACCTGGGTGGGCTGGCAGGTGGCCGGCTCAGGGCCCTGCCTGCCCATCCTCTGCAGCCGTTCACAGCTACTACACACAGAATGAGGTAGTGACCACTGACAATCTGGATTTCCGGCACCACAGCTACAAGGACATGCGCCAGGTGGGGTCCTGCCCTGGGGCCAGGGGTTGTGTCCAGGGACTGGGGGGGTCATGTCTGGGTGCTGGGGATCCTGTCCAGAGGCGGGGCTCAAGGGTAATGGGAGCCATATGCAGTGCTCTGTGAGCTCTGCTCCCATCCCAGGCAAGCTGAGAGGCCAGCCTTCTTCTCAAGGAGGAGGAACTCCCAAGGCCCCTCCCTCCAGCACTAGGACCTGAGAGGGGCTGGCGTCACTGGCAGGGGCTGCTCCTACCACAGAGAACCTCCCCACAGAGCAGACCCAGGGCATGGGAGAGGCCGTGGTCACGGGGTAGGCTGGCACTTGCTACATCCCGGGCTATATAACTCGTGTACCCTCTGGTGCCCAGCTGATGAAGGTGGTGAACGAAGAGTGCCCCACCATCACCCGCACTTACAGCCTGGGAAAGAGCTCACGCGGGCTCAAGATCTATGCCATGGAAATCTCAGACAACCCTGGAGACCATGAGCTGGGTGAGGGCCCCCACAACCCCTGGAGGCCTGGCCCTCCTCCCACGGATTAGAGACAAGGCCCTGGCACCGCAGCTGGGCCTGTGCCATTGATGTTCCCAGCTCACCACCTTCTGCCTGTCCTTGGACCCCCTCTAGGGAACCCAGTCTGCCTTGCTGGGCCCTACGAGCCTCAGCTGCTTCCCAGCTCCCTGGGTGTAAGGCCAGTTTGGGTCCTTTCACATCTCTCTAGGGCTTTGGGAGGCTGGGTAGTTGCTGAGGCTCCCGCCCTTGCAGGGGAGCCCGAGTTTCGCTACACAGCTGGGATCCATGGCAATGAGGTGCTGGGCCGTGAGCTGCTGCTGCTGCTCATGCAGTACCTGTGCCGTGAATACCGCGACGGGAACCCCCGTGTGCGCAGCCTGGTGCAGGACACGCGCATCCACCTGGTGCCCTCACTGAACCCTGATGGCTACGAAGTGGCAGCGCAGATGGTGAGTTGGGGGGGTGTTGGGGCCAGGGCAGGGGTCAGGCTGGAGGGGGTGGGCCAGGGGAACTGCAGCAGCAGGGGGCAGGGCTGGGGAGCGGGCCACTGATGCTGACCCTGCTGCCGGCTCCCCCAGGGCTCAGAGTTTGGGAACTGGGCGCTGGGGCTATGGACCGAGGAGGGCTTTGACATCTATGAAGACTTCCCGGATCTCAACTCTGTGCTCTGGGGAGCTGAGGAGAGGAAATGGGTCCCCTACCGGGTTCCTAACAATAACCTGCCCATCCCTGAACGCTACCTCTCCCCAGATGCCACGGTGAGCCCACAGCCTGGCTAACAGGGCCTGGGGGTGGACTGGGGGTGCCTGAGCCTGGGCGCTGAGACTGAGGGGCTTGGAGAGACAGAGGGGGTGTGAGTACTACGTTGGGGTCTGCATGGAGGGTGATGGAGGCTGCAGCATAGACCTCAGCACTGGCCACCCCCAGGTATCCACGGAGGTCCGGGCCATCATTGCCTGGATGGAGAAGAACCCCTTTGTGTTGGGGGCAAACCTGAATGGCGGTGAGCGGCTGGTGTCCTACCCCTACGACATGGCCCGCACGCCCAGCCAGGAGCAGCTGCTGGCTGCGGCCATGGCAGCCGCCCGGGGAGAGGACGAGGACGAGGCATCTGAGGTCCAGGAGACCCCAGACCACGCCATCTTCCGCTGGCTGGCCATCTCCTTTGCCTCCGCTCACCTCACCATGACTGAGCCTTACCGGGGAGGGTGCCAAGCACAGGACTACACCAGCGGCATGGGCATCGTCAACGGGGCCAAGTGGAATCCCCGATCTGGGAGTGAGTCAGCCTGGGAGGGGCCATGGTGGGGCGTCTGGTGTGGGGCAGGGGTGACCGGGTTCTGTGTCTGCCCTGCCCAGCTATCAATGACTTCAGTTACCTGCACACCAATTGCCTGGAGCTCTCCATCTACCTGGGCTGTGACAAGTTCCCTCACGAGAGTGAGCTGCCTCGAGAGTGGGAGAACAACAAGGAAGCTCTGCTCACCTTCATGGAGCAGGTGGGGGGCAGCTTGGGGGGCTGCATCCGGGAGAGGTTGATGAAGGGTCGGGACGGGGAGCAGGGGAGCAACAGGCCGTGAGGGGTCTCCATGTGGACACCAGCCCTTGCTTCCTTCCGCAGGTTCACCGTGGCATCAAGGGGGTTGTGACAGATGAGCAGGGCATCCCTATTGCCAATGCCACCATCTCCGTGAGTGGCATTAACCACGGTGTGAAGACAGGTACCTGTGTGCACCTTCCTGAGGTGGGGGGCCAAATCTGGGTATGGTCTTGGCAAGGCAGGTCAGGCCTGCCCAGCAGGTCCCTGCTCTCTGGGACCCCATCAGGGAAGGTGTACCCTGGCCAGAGGGAGGGCTGAGGGGGCTGGGAGATCTCAGAGAAGAAGGTTGGGGGATCTGACGGAGGAGGGCTGGGCGATCTGAGAGCGGAGGGCTGGGCGATCTCAGAAAGGAGGGCTGGGGCCTGGGAGGCGAGACTCTTGAGCAGCCGAATCTGTCCTCCCTCTGCAGCAAGTGGTGGTGATTACTGGCGCATCCTGAACCCGGGTGAGTACCGCGTGACAGCTCACGCAGAGGGCTACACCCCCAGCGCCAAGACCTGCAACGTGGATTATGACATCGGGGCCACCCAGTGCAACTTCATCCTGGCGCGCTCTAACTGGAAGCGCATCCGGGAGATCTTGGCCATGAACGGGAACCGGCCTATCCCACACATTGACCCATCACGCCCCATGACCCCCCAGCAGCGACGCATGCAGCGCCGCCGGCTGCAGCACCGGCTGCGAATGCGTGAACAGATGCGGCTCCGTCGCCTCAATGCCACTGCAAGCCCAGCCACGTCCCCCACATCGCCCCCAACATCGCCCCCCACCCCCCCCACACTGCTCCCCACCCCTACCCTCGCCCCCTCACCCGCCCCAAGCTCCACCCTGGGGCCCTGGCACTTTATACCCGAGACCACGGCCAACTGGGAGGAGTCAGAGACTGAGACCTACACGGAGGTGGTGACGGAGTTTGGGACAGAGCTGGGGCCTGAGGAGGAGGAGGAGGAGGAGATGGTCACGGGCCCGGAGTTCCCCTTCACCACAGCCGAGACCTACACAGTGAACTTCGGGGACTTCTGAGAACAGGTCTCCCAACGCTGAGCACGCGCCAGTTGTCATGTCACCTCGGCCAGCTCAGCAGCCATCAGCACACGGAAGGCCCCCTGGTGTGGGCCGGGCCAGGAGGGGGCATGAATGTGACCAAGCCCTTTGAGCCTGGGTCTGCGTCAGGCTTCTGCTCCGCCTGCTGGCCCCGTAGAGGACAGGCTGCTGCAGGGCTGGGGTAGGGGCAGGCCGAGCGAGCCCAAGAGGCAGACTTCTCGACACTTGCCCAGGCCACACCAATAAACCAAGCTCACGGCACATGTGTGGCTGACCGCTCGCCCTTCTGACCAGCTCGGGGAAAGGGGAGGAGGAAGGAGCCTTACATGCACTGTGGGCTCTCTCACAGGAGGGCCCTGGCCCAGCACCAGGTCGCCCAGAAGCTCAACACTGGTAAATGGTCGGGCTTTATTTACAAAGCAAAAGCTGCTACAGTGCTGATGTTGCAGGGAATGAATGGCCAGGGGCCTCTCTGGACAGGGCTCCTGTGTGAGTCAGGGGCCCAGACCCAGGCCTCCCAGGTCCTCGTCCTCTGCCCCGAAGCCTGAGAAGCTGATGGGCTGGCAGGCCAGGCTGCGCAGGTTTACGAGGCAGGCAGTCTGTGTGGTGCTGAAGTCTGGGACGGCCACCAGCAGCACCGTCTGGTCCTCGAGGCCTGCAAAGAAGCCATGTGGGAACCCACCTTAGGTCCTGGGTGAGCCCTTCTCGAAGGGAAGTCACCAGAAGTAAACAGAAGTCCCCCATCAGCACTATGGGAGTGCTGACCAGAGGAGCTCCTTTGGACTGGAAATAAGAAGGGCTAAGGAGATCACCAAGGTCAAAGGCTAAAGCCACACTGACCAGAGGTGAGCTCTGGTACCAATAGGTGTGGACAATTTCAGTCAGCCGGTCACCAGGAAGAGCCTGGGCCGTCTACCCCCAGGGCCGGGGGAACTGGAGTGTAGTTTTTCTTCTCTGTGAGCCTTATCCCCAGTTGAGGGAGTGCCTTGTGATAGCCCAGGCCTTGGCCCCCAGAAGGCAAAACTTACCTCGGATGATTTTGGAGCCAAAGCTGGGGGTGTTGCCACAGAAGTAGACGTGAGGGCACTCGGGAAAGACAAACGGGTCAGTCTTGTAGAAAGGGTAGCAGCCTGGAGAAGACAGGCCTCAGCTGAGAGCGGGCTTCTCACCTCACACTACGGACACAGGGGGGCTGTCCTGTAGAGGACGGGGAGCGCCACCCCTGCTCGCTTGCTCTGTCTCTGTCTCTCTTAATGCTGGTAGCAGCCTCGCCAAATGTGACAACAAAAACGCCTCTGGACATTGCCACGTGATCCCAGGGGTAGGTTAGTGTACCCTGCTGCCTTCGCCCTTCTGGGTGGCCACTGGGGCAGGGCGCAGTGGTCTCACCAGCCCAGGCTCCCAAAATGCTCCCATGGCCTTCAGCTCTGAGCAGGGCCATGGCCACAGACAATACAGAGGTAAGGTCCCAAAGCAGCTTCCAGAACAGTGTCAAGCTTTCAGGCTCTTCCTCAGACAGGTCACAGCAAAGCTGCTGAGTGCACATCCATGCTGGGAACCCTCAGCACCAAGGGACCGTCAGGCCTTCCCTGGTCCTTCGGTTCCACCCCATGTGGCTGAGTCCCATTACCTAGGGTGTCAGGGGCTGTGGGGCTGATGTGACGGACTCGCAGGGTCCACTCCAGGATCTCCAAGTGATCCTCCATGCCGCTGTACCGGAAAATGTCACTCACGTTCTGTCCTGATGTCCCCAGGAATCTGCAAGGCGAGGCGAGGCTGATCCCCACCCTGGGAGCTGCCATCTGCACCCCTCCCACGGCGGCCGGCCCAGAGCCCACCTGATGCTCTCATGGGGTGTGTCCCAAGTTAACCTTGACAAAGAGCCCAGTTCTACATGGGCCCTTTGCAGCCCTGAACCCAACCTTCCCCTCCTGGTGCCACTGAGGCAAAAGGCTGGAGTATGGCTGTGCTGGCTACCTGACTCCATCGATGGTGGCCTGGTAGGGGTTGGTGACCAGCTGGAGCGTGGAGTAGGCAGTGGCCAGTGGGAACATGCAGGGGTGCAGAGGCTGCTGGGGGAGCGTGTAGTTGGTTGGGTCAAATTCACCTGGCATCACGTCCACGGGCACCGAGGCCTGGAGGGCACAGGGGCAGGGGAGCTTGCAGGGCCCAGTACCCTCCACACGCAGCCCTGCCGGAGCCCCCTCCACCTCCCCTTTCCTGGCCCGCCTTCCAGTGCCTCAAAGACTCCACTCTCAGTCACCGGCCAGCCCCCAGCTCACTCACACTCAGCTGCAGGAGGATCTCGTCCAGCATCTTGACGGCCTCCACACTGGCTGCCTGGGTTTTCTTCGTTAGGTACTTGGCCTGGGGGTGGAAGCCCACAGGCTATCAGGCCTCAAGTGAGGCTGACATCAAAGGGGTACCCAGAGCCTGCCTGGAGGGCTGAGAGCAGAGCGAAGCCCCACGCACAGGGGGCAGTAAGAGTTCTGTGCCACAGGCCACCCAGTACCCTCAGAAAGCAGGGCGTGGAATGAGGCTGGGCCTCCAACACAGGCGGTCCTAGTGTCACTGCTGGACGCTTCCCACTAGACCTGCAAGACCCCGTGCCCCAACTCTCCTTGGGGAAGAAAGGGCTTGATGCACACAGGTAGGCACCATACCTTGTTGATGGAATCTCTGCTCTGGGTGTTGTGGCTGAGGAGGTTCCCAGCGAGGATGACCCGGGAGACGTGGGCGGCGCTGCACTGCTCCCCTTCGTCCCCGAGCTGCCCCGTCACCACGTCCACCAGCAGCTGGGTGCCCAGCAGGCTCTCGCCCCCACCTCCACCCAGGCCCAGACCAGACACCAGCAGCACAAACCTGTGGGAGAAGGCAGTTTCCTCCTGGGCACCAAGAAAGCAGGTGGCCCCCGAGGCAGGCTGCGTGGAGCCAACAGCGGAGCTCCGTTGCCGTCATGGGTGGGCAGGGAAGATGGAGCCTGACAACTGTGATTCCCCTGGACCAGCGACCAGGGCCCCTGAGCACCTGCTCCTCACCTGTCTGTGTCAAGGAGGGGTGCGGGCTTCTGAGGAGCAAGCTCTGCAAAGCAATGGTCCTCCACCTGGAACTTCCCATCGTCTCCCACAGAGCCGAGCACAGCCAGGACCGTCCCTGGGGAGCAGCAGTGTCATGCCCTGGAAAGGGGAGCCCGAGGGGCTGCCACTTCTTTCCAGTCACCTAAACAGCAAAACCAGCCGGTTCTCGTCTGCCATGCTGGCAAATTCTCACTTAAGACTCAGGATGGAGTGTCTGCTTCTTGGGGTCACTGTCTTCAAGTGGAGGTGGGAGGAACTGATCCCCTGCATGAATCTCACCCACTACCTGAACCCAAACTCACTGCTCCAGGAATGCAGGGGTGCACCAGCACCCAGCTGCACAGGCCACTCCCTCCCCACTCCCCACCTGTGACCAGCTTTGACACGTCGATGGTGCCTTCCAGTTTGATACGCTGCAATTCATCTTCCAAGATCAGCTCATCATCTGGGTGGATGTATTTGCTCCGAGGCGGCTGAGGAAGCAGGTTGTGCTGGAATTCGGAGATGGGAGGTAGTCTTGGGGCCAGAGCCCACCAAGGCTTCCGGGCAACATCAGTGAGATGACAGTGTAGCCCCCGACCCCCACTGGCAGACAGCCCAGTCCCGAATCCCTGGGGCCAAGGCAAGTGGCCCCATTGGTATCCCCAAGGAAGTGTTCCAGGGGAGGCCCACATGAGCCGGCCGGCCTCACCTCCTCGCTGACCTCCCGCAGGATGGAGGGCTGGAGCGGCATAGCCTTGAAGAGGGTCCCCACCACACAGCACTTCTCCCCAGGCTGCAGTTCACACAGCTTCTTTATTTGGACTCCACTGCCTGGGGCACGAGGGGCATGAGCTCAGAAGCCAGGTGGCCCTCCCACCACCCCCACGGGGCACTGTAACAGGCCTCACTGAGCACTGCAGCCCAGGACCCCACCCTGTGCCAGGAAGGAGAGAACATCAAGTGCAAGGACTCCCTGGGCCTAAGGATCACTTGGCCCCGGGAGGACAGAGGGACTCTGGACATGGCTGGGCCCTGGATGCCAAGTGTCCTAATAAGAGAAGCAGACACGCAAAGAGAGCGATGTGAAGATGGGGCAGAGACGAGTGACGTGGCCACAAGCCCAGGAAGGAAGAGGCAAGGAAGGATCCCCTGTCAGCCTCCGGAGGGAGACTGGCCCTGCTGACACCCAGATTTCGCACTTCTGGCTTCCAGGACTGGGAGAATAAATTTGTGTTGTTTTAAGCCACCTGGTTTGTGGCTTTACTGTTTGCTACAGCAGCTACAGGAAACGAACACAAAGTTATTATCTCACGTATACCTAAATTATAACACTGATTCTTAGAAATTATGAGGCATGCCAAGTCTCAACACAGCCCTGGCCTAAAAATATTACAACTTCCTTTAAGAGTCTGGATTCTTCCACTTGCCCCACAAATGCCTCATTCTCTAAAAACAGAGATGCCCCAAATTCACACTACATATCCCCATCCATCCCGTCCTGTGCCCTGTGGAGGCAGGCAGCCTTGTTTACCAGAGCACCTGGGTCCTGAAGAACAACACATGGGAAGCATTGGGGGACACACAGAAAGACAGGCATGGAAGACGCTACCCACAGGGTCACTTGGGCAGAGGAGGCAGGAGCACAAGTCCCAGCTGCCCATGGATTTGTTAGTACAGACCCCAAGACCGGAGGAAAACGCTGTCAGGTGGTAATGGGATAACGCGGATGCAGGCCCAGCCCCTTCCTTAGCTCAGCTGACTCCAGCACAGGCCCCTCCTGCCCTGAAATAACCAAGAACATTCCGCAGATATACACCCTGGGGAGTGGAGGGGAGTAATTCAAAATAAGGTAAGGCGAGCACCAGCATGGGACAGAAATGCCAAACGCCAACAGAAACAATAGATCCCAAAGCATCGGCGTCTGCCGAGCCTCACACAGCCCAGGTGGCCGTGCCAAGCACTGGGCACGGAACTCTTCCACCCCTAGCAACACGCCACAGTAGGTATTACTGCCCCACCATATGGTTGAGGAAACTGAGGCACAGAGATTAAGTAACACATCCAAGGTTCACAGTTGGGGTCCAATGTGTGCGCCTTAGCACCAGGCAGAACCACATATCCCTGTGCTGACGGCAGGACATCCGTCTGTCAGGGCGGCATGTGGGCAGCAGTCCAGGCCCCAGCACCGAGAGTGAACACAAAGG